TTACGGAGCTCAAACCTGGACATTCACAAAAAAGAACATGGACAAGATTCGAAAAACTCAGCGAGCCATGGAACGACAGATGCTTGGCATCTCACCAATAAATCGGCAAACGAACGAAGCAAACCGGAACAAAACAAAAATAAAGGACGCCGCGAAACAAGCAGCTAAATTTAAATGGAAATGGGCTGGACACAACGAACGTCTCGAAGATGGTAGACGGGACAAAGAAGTCGGAAACTGGCGACCGTACGATGCGAAGAGACCAAGAGTAAGACCTCAAATGCGCTGGAGCGACGATATCAAAAGAGTCGCAGGACCAAGATGGAAACGCCTAGCACACAACAGAGATGAATGGCGAGAAATGGGAGAGGCCTTTATTCGACAATTCGAAAAGAAAAAGGGCTATAAAAAAAGATTTTCCAGGTTTTTTTGCCAGAGTATTTAAGCAACTCCACTGTTATATCCATCTATTCCAACTACTTTGCCGTTTTTGTGTGTTTTCGATTGCATTTTTTATCAGTCTTTTAATTTATTTTCTTACGTCTTCCGTAATACTTTTCCTTATTGTCTTACAAAGTTCTGTATATTGTATTCTCTGTATGTCTAGTTACTTTCATTTCCCTTCTTCAGTTTCCTATGTTCATTTTATTGTTGCGGTCCTTTGATTTGTTTGATACTATCAAAGATGATATCCATTAATTAAGAGCTGTCGATTTGGTCATATAATCTTTAATCAATTGTCCTTTGATAGTAATCTGTGTTTTCTTTTAGATTGTTATTTTTATTCTTTCTAGTTTCAGATTTAAAACAATTTTTGGTCTGATTAGTGTATGGTCGCTGCCTATTAGAAATTTAGTTCCTCCACTGACATATTTTATTGTAGCAATCTTGTTAATTACTATTTAACTGGGAATAAGCCACAATTAAAGATAAAAATACGTTTATTGACGTTTCAATTTCCACGGAAATCGTTCTCAAAATACAAACAGTAAATTAAACAAATTTTGTTTTTTGTTGCATAGTGAAAAATTCTTCTAATAATTTAATTTTATCTGACTCATTTATATTGACAATTCAGACGACTTTAAAATGATATTGCCAATATTGTTGAGTTGCGCTCCTGGGACGACTTTACTTATAAGATAGTTAATTCGATTACATGAAATCAACTTTAACTTGAGAATATCCGTCAAAAAAAATCATAGCATATAATTCGTGTCTTTAAAAAGACAGACACATGACATGATGACAGTAAAATTCTCCTGTTAGTGATTCCATAAATGATGTATCCTCTGGTATTTTCTTATTAATAACTTCCTCTTTCAATATTGGTAACCAGATCCTACTACATTCTGCCGAGGAATTTGCGACACAATTGGCCTCATTTAGCATAATTAGAGCCGCTTTTTTGATTTTTTCTTTTTTTATCATCCGTTTCTTTTAGAACTACATTTGAATTATTCCATTGAACCCTATGTTCATTATCCCATGCGTGTTTACATATTTGAGATCTATCAAATTATCGAGAAATTTTTTTTTTAATAACGAAACATATAAAATCAGAATTTTGGTGTTTATTGAAGGTAAACTAAATGCACGAACAAATACTTACCACCATGTCGGGATAGTATTATGAGGTTTTTTTCCTGGTTTTTCCCTCATAATTTACTATGGAATCACTAACAGGAGAATTTTACTGTCATCATGCCATGTGTTTGTCTTTTTAAATACGAATTACATGCTATGATTTTTTTCTGATGGATATTCTCAAGTTAAAGTTGATTTCATGTAATCGAATGAACTAGCTTATAAGTAAAGTCGTCCCAGGAGCGTAACTCAACAATATTGGCAATATCGTTTTAAAGTCGTCTACTTTAAAATGCATAATGTATGCCTGAATTGTCAATATAAATGAGTCAGACAAAAATTAAATTAGAAGAATTTTTCACTATGTAACAAAAAACAAAATTTGTTTAATTTACTGTTTGTATTTTGAGAACGATTTCCGAAGTGGAAATTGAAACGTCAATAAACGTATTTTTATCTTTAATTGTGGCTTATTCATAGGTAAATAGTAATTAATTAAAAATGCCACAGCAATCTTGTTGGTTTGAATTAAGTCAATTTCGTTCTGGTGCCACCAAGTCCATTTTTTGTTTGATTTTTTCTTAAGGAATGTATTTGCAATAAGCATGTTTTGGTAGTATCCAAACTTAACCAGTCTTTCTCCCCTTTCATTTCTCTCACCGACTACCATACTTTCGCAGGTGTATAAACGTCTTGAAAGATGCTAAAAGCCAATGTAAATAGGAATTTTGTCGACTTAAATAAAAAAATTTATATATCAATTAAGTACGCTAGCAATTTTCTTTCTTAAATATTTAAAAAATTATAAAAAAACATATTTTTAAAAACATTTTCTACCCCCTCTGTGGCTCAGTACGCTACCTTTGAACCTAAAGGTCGTGAGTTCGAATCTCACCTGGGTGGAGAAATTTTCGTTTATTAAAAATTAATAAATAAAAATAATTTCTATCCTCGTGCGATCAGTACTCACCAGAGGGACCGCAGACTTTCGGATACAATTAGCGTTTGTTAGCAAAGACAATGACGTCGACTTTGCTAAGTATCAAGACAATTACTATACACCTACACACACTACACTAGGTACCTGACTGTAAAAATTCACTGTACCATGCCAATGACCATTAGTTGTCGAAGCATTAAACTCAATAAAAAAAAACATTTACATAATAATAGAATCAATAATTATATGTCTAGATAATACAAAAAAGTCAAATTATTCAAATCAATTACTTATAATCCTCTCTTTTTAAGTTTTCTGTTTTTAAATACATAATAGCTAAATAAATATTTTTTGATAGCCTGTCTTGCCTTTTTAAAAGAGACTAGGATAACCCATTATCTTTTACTTAAATGATATTTTCGCAATATCTAATAAATCCTGATATGTTTCTCATTATTATGATGTAAAGTTAAAATTAATACCATCCATGATGTTAATTAAAATTAATACATTGAGCACTTAAAATGTTCGCACAAAAAGACAGTTGGACATGGTAGAACATTTTTTTACCAAACTCGAGCAATAGTATAGCTCACTTTTTTCACCAGATATACCTCTACCTGGCACCCAGTTCGTAACTTACGAAAGCGTGCTTATGCCAAATAGCAGTGTGTCTTCCACTCCATTAAACCAACCTCTCCTACACAAAACCACCTCATACACACAAATTGATGCAATGCTTGAAAATATGCTGTTTGAAGTTCAAAAGCAAGAAAAATTGTTTGGATTAGACTTAGACGTAGTGGAACCAGAGCAAGCGTGTCTTAACACACTTGAATTATTGCCAAGCACCGACGCATTAATAGAAGTTCCAATTAAGAAGGTGATTCGAAAACCAAAAATCTACGAAACCACTCAAGAAATTATTGTAAATCAAGATGAGTCTCCTTATGATCTGATTTCATTTAGTGGACATCCAAGGGTAGAATCCATTCATGAGTATGACGAAGTGGTCGTTAAAGAAAATGTCAACAATCTCGAAGAAATTTCCAAACACATCAACGACCTTTTAATTTCTGTAGAAGACGACGAAACTAAGCTTTTAACTATTCATCCAGAGGATGAGTATTTAGAAAAACCATACACGTACAAAATAGACTTTCAACGAGCCAACACTGCCTCTAGCGAATCATTAAGTGATCACTATCCTGATAGTTGGAATGATCCAACTGATCACAAAGACTCTTTAATTGACGATGATTATGAACTTATGGAAACAAAACCACCGGTTCAAGCAATGCAATTGCGTGACAGTAGAACAGGAAATGAAATATGGTGGGAAGGAACATATCGCAACTTAAGTATAGTTCCCGAAGAGGACGAAGAAAATCAAAGTTTATTAGGCAGTTATTACTCAAATAAATCGTATTCAACGAAAGCATATTCTCCACTAATTGAAACAACAGTTATCGAGAGAACGCCAGCTTTGAGCAGTTCTCTTAAGGAATCATCCATTGACGTCGATGATTCCAGTGATGGAAGTTCTTCTGTAACGTCAACGAGCTCTGATGAAGGTACTTATGAACTCACAAATAAACTAGTAAAAGCAGAAGTGAAACTCATGGTAAAGACTCTGGATAGTGGTAAGGAGGCTATTGAAATTAGATCAGTAAGGGAATTCATGGACAATCCAACCAAAACAGACGAAGATTCATATGAAAGGAGCACACTTATTAAAAAAAAGAGTCAGACGTTACCAAGTAGACTTGGTGAAAAGTTAACAAACATTACACAGAAGTTTAGCGGAATATTGGACAAAAAGAAATCAACATCCTACTATCCCATAGTTGATCGAACTGAATCGCATATAGAACAACTTGGACAAGAAGAATCTTCGAAACCTTCATTTGTTCTGCAAAATTTATTTGTTAGGAATTTGGATCAAGATAGTAAGTCAAATTTGTTAGCTTCAAAAGAGCTTTCTAAAAGTAAGACTGAGCTCCTTGCTACTTCAAATCAGCGCTTTCCTTTGGAATATGATCCAAATACACCCTCAAGTGCAGAAGATGATCATAGTGCAGTGGATCTTTTTGCGAATATCCCATTTTATCCTTGTTACGATAAGTATTCTCCTAACGCCAAATCTCGGGCTTTCGTTTCAACTGAATTTATTTCAAATCCTTTTATTGAAAATTCCAATGTCCCGGAAGCATACTGCGATTGGCTGCATGAAAAAGTGGATGATCTCAGAGGTAAAGTTAGTGATTTCGAATTGCCTAACTTAACTCGTGCTGACTCATATGCATGGGTTTGGATTGTAGTTAGTTGATTTTTAACTAATATTATAAAACATATCGTGCATTAGCCAAGGTAAGAATATTTATAAAAATGAAATTGTTTTATTGATATGATTTTTACGGTTATAAGTTTTGGTAGTTTAGAGAAGCTTGTTGGAAATTGCATGTTCTTACAGGAAATCGTACCGAAGAAAAATCATTAAGCCAAAGCCTTATTGGTTTTACTACCGACCGACCATTCGCTAACAAAAAAGCAGTTTACGATTTAACTAATGCTCTAATTCAGTCTGAGTCACGCGCAGAACCCTATCATACTCATACAGAGAAACATTATAAACTCGACTTGGAAAAACCTCTAACAGACGATGAGTCTGCTCCTCAAAAAGATGATAAAAAACGAAAAAGGGGTATTTTCGGTACTATTAAGAATTTTGTCGGTAAATCAATCGAATCCGATTCAGAATCTGAAAAGTCATTACCCAAAAAAGAAAAGAAGAAGAAGGACAAGAAGAAGAAATCAAGCGATCTTCCTCCCGAACTTCCTATATCCGCACCTAGAAAGCCAAAACTACCAACGCCACCGTTAGATACGAAATATGACGATATTCCATTCGTCGAAGCATCTCCAACCGACATTTCCGACCACAAAATTGAAATTACAAAAACCTATAATTTCCCAGTAACCGATTTGGATGAGATAGAGGCTGGAGTACCACCCAACATAACACATAAAGCTAGAGAGATAGTACACGCCGTATTATCAGATGGGGAGCAAACGGCTAGAGATAGACGTTCCAAATCTCCGAAGAAACAAAAAACGATTATTATTGAAGAGAAAGTTACGAAAACATTTGCACCGCTAACTATCGAAGAAGAAGAATTTACGATAACTATAGATCCTACCAAAAAGGATTCGCCAAAGAAAACAAGAGAAATATTTACATTAAATATTGACGAAAGCGAAGCACAAATCGAGAAGGAAATTTTAGAAAAGTCTCCAATTTTGCCTGAAGAGAGTCTTATCAAACCAATAGTACATATACAAGAGCCTGTAAGACCAATCCGAAGCCATGTCTATGAAGACATCTTAGAACCCCAAGTTTGCTTATATCCCGATAAAAGACTAGATCCTGATCATATTAAAAAAGCCACTCATGACCTAATTCAAAATGAAATTAGTTTTACTGGATGGTCAGATGATAAACACAACATATTTAAACCTTTAACATTACAACCTGATGACGCTGAAGTAAAAGAAGTAGAAGGTAACGTAACAGATAGTCTAAAAATGAAACGTAAACACGGTAAACTCTTTGGTTTGTTCGGAAAAACTTCCAAAGACATCGACGATTCTGAAGATGAAAGCAGCCGTAGAGAAGTTATTGAAAAACAAGATAAAGAAACCTCGAAAGAAGTTTTAGCAGAATCTAATAAGCCAAGAGAAGATTTGCCCAAATCTCCTAAAATAAAGAAAAGTAAAAGTAAAGAAAAAGAGGATAAAAAATTCTTAGGAATATTCAAAATTAGTAAACAAGACACTCAGAAACCAACATTTTCGGAATCTACAATCAAAAATATGATAGATTCCACTGCGTTTTTGAAGGAAGAAGTTGACAAATACCACGATGTGCGGCCACTGAAAGTATCACCGGAAGATAAAACAACTAAAATTCAACCCAGCATTATATCAGAAGTTACTGAAATTAAAGCACAAACATCTTTAAGTGGAAAACATGAAGCTGAACTTATTGTAAAAGACAAAACGACAAAACTTATTTCCGATAGTCCAGTACAGTCAACAGTGATTAAACAAATACCTCAGGAAATTTCACTTATATCTAAAGAAGAACATAAGTCTGGTTTCTTTGATGTTTTCAAAAAGAAAGATGATACTGAAAAACATAAACCAGAAACAATTTTATCTGCTGATACTATAAGAGACATGAATGACTGTGAAATATTCCTAAAAGACGAAATACATCGATATCACGATGTCAAACCGGTCACAAAACCAAAAAGAGAAAGTAGCCCTACTAAAATAATTACAACGGTGGAAGAAACTAAGAAAGTAACCAAAAAAGTCGAAACCACCGTTGAATCTGTTGCTGATGACTTCGTAGTCAGTAGAGAGACTACCTCCGTCATACACAAAGGACCAAAAGAGCAGATTGTTACAGAAACTACTTTAGTAAAGAAACTAAAGAGTGATATGGAAATCCAAGATGACAAAAAAACAGGTACAACAGAAATGAAATCGCCGGAGAAATCCAAACACATCGATGAAGAAGAACATAAAAAAGGTTTGTTTGGAGGTATGTTTAAGAAGAAAGACAAGTTGCCAGGGGTAGATTCTAAAATCAAGTCTCCCGGAAAAATTATTTTATCTGATTTAACGATTGAAAATATGGAGAATAGCAATAATTTCTTAAAAGACGAAATTGAAAAGTATTATGATGTGCGCCCACTTATTGAGTACATATCTACAGAAGAATCAAAACCAATTTCTCAAGGAATATCTAAAATTGAATCCGACCACAAAGAACAACCTTTAACTAAAAAAATAAAAGATAAAAAAGAAAAAGATTCTAATTTCTTTGGAGTATTTAAGAAGAAAGAATCTGCAGAAAAAGGCATAATACCAGACTTAAAAACTACTGTAGAGATAAAACCATCTCTTTCTCCCGAAATCGTTAAAAGTATGGACGAAAGCCACAAATTTTTAAAAGATGAAATTCAATGGTATCATGATGTTCGTCCTATTAGTACTCAATTGGTGAAGGAAAAGGAAACTGTTGTTCATGAAACTATGGTAAACAATGATAAATTATCGCCTAAAAAAGAAAAAGTTAAAGAAGTCAAAGAATCTTCTGGCGTATTCAGCATATTCAAACGAAAAGGACAGTCAGTGGAAAGAAAACCTGACGATGTACAAGAAAAGTCTGTTCTATCGGAATCTACGATTAAAGACATGGGAGATAGTGATACCTTCCTTAAAGATGAAATTGACAGATATCATGATGTACATGCTATTAAAGAAACTTCTATTGCTAAAGTACCCAGTCAAAGCATTGATAGTAAAGAACCAGAAAACACTACTAAAAAATCTAAAAGCAAAAAAGAAATCGTCGGTCCAATATTTGGAATCGATAAAATTAAGGAACCCATAGAAAAGGATCAAATAACTATTCAAGAACGAAGACCTATTTTGTCAACAGATGTTGTTAAAAATATGGTTGAAACTGACACATTTTTAAAAGATGAAATTTATCATTATCACGACGTTAAGCCCCTCAAAGCACGTGACACAACTTTAGTGTCACCAACAAAAACAAAATCTGAAACAGTGGAAATTTCAGACCGGGGTGAGAAATCCCCAAAGAAGGGAAAAGGTAAGACAAGCAAAGATAGTGGTATTTTAGGAATATTTAAGAAAAAAACAGCATCATTTGAGGTAAATGAAAATCTTGGACCAGTTGATGAAAAAATAATACAAAAAGATGAAAAGGACCAACACCGTGGTATACATTCTATAATTAAAGAACCCGCTGTGCAAGAAGCTAAAGTTGAACTAGTTAGTAAAGTTGAAGATGTTAAAGTCCAACACATTTCTGATAAATCACCACAAAAATCAAAACAAAAATCAGAAAAAGAAGGTGGAACTCTTTTTGGAATATTCAAAAAGAAAGATGGATCTCTTGAAAAAGGGACTAAACTTGAAGCTGTTGATAAAGCTGGAAAACCAATTTTATCTGAGACTGTAGTTAAAGATATGGAAGTTAGTGATACATTTTTAAAGAATGAAGTAGCTCGATACCATGATGTGAGACCTATTATTACGACAACTGTTGATACACAAGTGGTTCAAACAGAAATCACTCCAGTGCAACAGACAACCGAAAAGTCACCTACGATAACAAAACAAAAATCAGAAAAAGACGGCGGAAGCCTCTTTGGAATCTTTAAAAAGAAAGAGGGGTCTCTTGATAGAGAAACTAAACTTGAGACTGTGGATAACGCTAGAAAACCAATTTTGTCTGAGACTGTTGTTAAAAATATGAAAGACAGCGACACATTTTTGAAAGATGAAGTTGATAGATATCATGATGTGAGACCCATTATTACGACAACTATTGAAACAAAAGTGGTTCAAACAAAAACTACTCCCGTGTTACAGACACAAGAAAAGTCACCTAAAAAAACAAAACAAAAATCAGAAAAGGAAGGCGGAAGTCTCTTTGGCATATTTAAAAAGAAAGAGGGATCTCTTGAAAGAGGAACCAAACCTGAAACTGTTGATAAAGCTGGAAAACCAATTTTGTCTGAGAATGTTGTTAAAGATATGGAAGACAGCGACACATTTTTGAAAGATGAAGTAGATAGATACCATGATGTAAGACCTATTATTGTCAAAACTGTTGAAACAGAAGTGGTCCAAACCGAAACTGCAACAGTGCAACAGACATCTGATAAGTCACCTAAGAAATCAAAACAAAAATTAGAAAAGGAAAGTGGTGGACTTTTTGGAATATTTAAAAAGAAAGAAGGATCTCTTGAAAGAGGAAGTAAACTTGTGACTGTTGATAAAGCTGAAAAACCAATTTTGTCTGAAACTGTTATTAAAGATATGGAAGATAGCGACACATTTCTGAAGGATGAAGTAGATAGATACCATGATGTGAGACCTGTTATCAGTAGTATTGTTGAACCACATGTAGTTCAAACAGAGACTATTCTAGTACAACAAGCAACCGACATGTCACCTGAGAAATCAAAACAAAAATCAGAAAAGGAAGCTGGTGGTCTTTTTGGAATATTTAAAAAGAAAGAGGGATCTCTTGATAGAGGAACTAAACTTGTGACTGTTGATAAAGCTGGAAAACCAATTTTGTCTGAAACTGTTATTAAAGATATGGAAGATAGCGACACATTTTTGAAGGATGAAGTAGATAGATACCATGATGTGAGACCTATTATCAGTAGTATTGTTGAACCACAAGTAGTTCAAACAGAGACCATTCTAGTACAACAGGCAACCGACAAGTCACCTAAGAAAACAAAACAAAAATCAGAAAAGGAAGGCGGAAGTCTCTTTGGCATATTTAAAAAGAAAGAGGGATCTCTTGAAAGAGGAACCAAACCTGAAACTGTTGACAAAGCTGGAAAACCAATTTTGTCTGCGACTTTTGTTAAAGATATGGAAGACAGCGACACATTTTTAAAAGATGAAGTAGATAGATACCATGATGTAAGACCTATTATTGTCAAAACTGTTGAAACAGAAGTGGTCCAAACCGAAACTGCAACAGTGCAACAGACATCTGATAAGTCACCTAAGAAATCAAAACAAAAATCAGAAAAGGAAGGCGGAAGTCTCTTTGGAATATTTAAAAAGAAAGATGGATCTCTTGAAAGAGGAACTAAACCTGAAACTGTTGATAAAGCTGGAAAACCAATTTTGTCTGAAAATGTTGTTAAAGATATGGAAGACAGCGACACATTTTTGAAAGATGAAGTAGATAGATACCATGATGTGAGACCTATTATTGCCAAAACTGTTGAAACAGAAGTGGTTCAAACCGAAACTGCAACAGTGCAACAGACATCTGATAAGTCACCTAAGAAATCAAAACAAAAATTAGAAAAGGAAGGTGGTGGACTTTTTGGAATATTTAAAAAGAAAGAAGGATCTCTTGAAAGAGGAAGTAAACTTGTGACTGTTGATAAAGCTGGAAAACCAATTTTGTCTGAAACTGTTATTAAAGATATGGAAGATAGCGACACATTTCTGAAGGATGAAGTAGATAGATACCATGATGTGAGACCTGTTATCAGTAGTATTGTTGAACCACATGTAGTTCAAACAGAGACTATTCTAGTACAACAAGCAACCGACAAGTCACCTGAGAAATCAAAACAAAAATCAGAAAAGGAAGGTGGTGGTCTTTTTGTAATATTTAAAAAGAAAGAGGGATCTCTTGATAGAGGAACTAAACTTGTGACTGTTGATAAAGCTGGAAAACCAATTTTGTCTGAGACTGTTATTAAAGATATGGAAGATAGCGACACATTTTTGAAGGATGAAGTTGATAGATACCATGATGTGAGACCTATTATCAGTAGTATTGTTGAACCACAAGTAGTTCAAACAGAGACCATTATAGTACAACAGGCAACCGACAAGTCACCTAAGAAAACAAAACAAAAATCAGAAAAGGAAGGCGGAAGTCTCTTTGGCATATTTAAAAAGAAAGAGGGATCTCTTGAAAGAGGAACCAAACCTGAAACTGTTGACAAAGCTGGAAAACCAATTTTGTCTGCGACTGTTGTTAAAGATATGGAAGACAGCGACACATTTTTAAAAGATGAAGTAGATAGATACCATGATGTGAGACCTGTTATCAGTAGTATTGTTGAACCACAAGTAATTCAAACTGAGACTATTCTAGTAAAACAGGCAACCGACAAGTCACCTAAGAAAACAAAACAAAAATCAGAAAAGGAAGGTGGAAGTCTCTTTGGAATGTTTAAAAAGAAAGAGGGATCTCTTGAAAGAGGAACTAAACCTGATACTGTTGATAAAGCTGGAAAACCAATTTTATCTGAGACTGTTGTTAAAGATATGGAAGATAGCGACACATTTTTGAAGGATGAAGTCGATAGATACCATGATGTGAGACCTGTTATCAGTAGTATTGTTGAACCACAAGTAATTCAAACTGAGACTATTCTAGTACAACAGGCAACCGACAAGTCACCTAAGAAAACAAAACAAAAATCAGAAAAGGAAGGTGGAAGTCTCTTTGGAATATTTAAAAAGAAAGAGGGATCTCTTGAAAGAGGAACTAAACCTGAAACTGTTGATAAAGCTGGAAAACCAATTTTGTCTGAGACTGTTGTTAAAGATATGGAAGACAGCGACACATTTTTGAAAGATGAAGTAGATAGATACCATGATGTAAGACCTATTATTGTCAAAACTATTGAAACAGAAGTGGTTCAAACCGAAACTGCAACAGTGCAACAGACATCTGATAAGTCACCTAAGAAATCAAAACAAAAATCAGAAAAGGAAGGTGGAAGTCTCTTTGGAATATTTAAAAAGAAAGAGGGATCTCTTGAAAGAGGAACTAAACCTGAAACTGTTGATAAAGCTGGAAAACCAATTTTGTCTGAGACTGTTGTTAAAGATATGGAATATAGCGACACATATTTGAAGGATGAAATAGATAGATACCATGATGTGAGACCCATTATTACGACAACTGTTGAAACACAAGTGGTTCAAACAGAAACTACTCCCGTGTTACAGACACAAGAAAAGTCACCTAAGAAAACAAAACAAAAATCAGAAAAGGAAGGCGGAAGTCTCTTTGGAATATTTAAAAAGAAAGAGGGATCTCTTGAAAGAGGAATCAAACCTGAAACTGTTGATAAAGCTGGAAAAAGAATTTTGTCTGAGACTGTTGTTAAAGCTATGGAAGACAGCGACACATTTTTGAAAGATGAAGTATATAGATACCATGATGTAAGACCTATTATTGTCAAAACTGTTGAAACAGAAGTGGTTCAAACCGAAACTGCAACAGTGCAACAGACATCTGATAAGTCACCTAAGAAATCAAAACAAAAATCAGAAAAGGAAGGCGGAAGTCTCTTTGGAATATTTAAAAGGAAAGATGGATCTCTTGAAAGAGGGAGTAAACTTGTAACTGTTGATAAAGCTGGAAAACCAATTTTGTCTGAGACTGTTGTTAAAGATATGGAAGATAGCGACACATTTTTGAAGGATGAAGTGGATAGATACCATGATGTGAGACCTGTTATCAGTAGTATCGTTGAACCACAAGTAGTTCAAACAGAGACTATTCTAGTACAACAGGCAACCGACAAGTCACCTAAGAAAACAAAACAAAAATCAGAAAAGGAAGATGGAAGTCTCTTTGGAATATTTAAAAAGAAAGAGGGATCTCTTGAAAGAGGAACTAAACGTGAAACTGTTGATAAAGCTGGAAAACCAATTTTGTCTGAGACTGTTGTTAAAGATATGGAAGATAGCGACACATTTTTGAAGGATGAAGTTGATAGATACCATGATGTGAGACCTGTTATCAGTAGCATCGTTGAACCACAAGTAGTTCAAACAGAGACTATTCTAGTACAACAGGCAACCGACAAGTCACCTAAGAAAACAAAACAAAAATCTGAAAAGGAGGGTGGTGGTCTTTTTGGAATATTTAAAAGAAAGAGGGATCTCTTGAAAGAGGAAGTAAACTTGTAACTGTTGATAAAGCGGGAAAACCAATTTTGTCTGAGAATGTTGTTAAAGATATGGAAGATAGCGACACATTTTTGAAGGATGAAGTCGATAGATACCATGATGTGAGACCTGTTATCAGTAGTATCGTTGAACCACAAGTAGTTCAAACAGAGACTATTCTAGTACAACAGGCAACCGACAAGTCACCTAAGAAAACAAAACAAAAATCAGAAAAGGAAGGTGGAAGTCTCTTTGGAATATTTAAAAGGAAAGATGGATCTCTTGAAAGAGGAAGTAAACTTGTAACTGTTGATAAAGCTGGAAAACCAATTTTGTCTGAGACTGTTATTAAAGATATGGAAGATAGCGACACATTTTTGAAGGATGAAATAGATAGATACCATGATGTGAGGCCTATTATCAGTAGTATTGTTGAACCACAAGTAGTTCAAACAGAGACTATTCTAGTACAACAGGCAACCCACAAGTCACCTAAGAAATCAAAACAAAAATCTGAAAAGGAGGGTGGTGGTCTTTTTGGAATATTTAAAAAGAAAGAGGGATCTCTTGAAAGAGAAAGTAAACTCGAAACTCTTGTTAAAGGAGAAAAACCAATTTTGTCTGGTATTGTAGTTAAAGATATGGAAGATAGTGACACGTTTTTGAAGGACGAGATAAAAAGATACCACGATGTGAGACCTATTGTCACAAGAACAACGGAACCGCAAATGGCTCAAATAAAAGATGTTACAGTACAGCAGACAACCGAAAAGTCGCCTAAGAAATCAAAACAAAAATCAGAAAAAGAAGGAAGTCTCTTTGGAATATTTAAAAAGAAAGAGGGATCTGTTGAGAAAGCCACTAAAGTGGATCCTGTTGATAAAAGTAAAAACCAAATTCTATCTGATGTTGTTGTTAAGGATATAGAAGTTAGTGACACATTTTTGAAAGACGAAGTAGAGAGATACCACGATGTAAGACCTATTACCACAAGAAGAATTGACCCTCAAATAACTCAAATAGAAACAGAAACACATAAAAATAAAATAGGTCCAATATTTGGTGTAGATAAGATGAAAAACCCAGTCGGCACAACTGCTTCCATGCTGTCAGCATTAGCAGTACAAGAAATGACTAATAGTGATAGATTCCTTCAAGAGGAAGTTAACAAATATCATGACGTTAAACCGATTATTTCCCAAAAAGTTAAAGAAATATCTGTCCCATCCTATAGTGCGAAAATTGATGAAACGCCTGTTGTAAAACAATCAATCGAAATATCGCCCAAGAAATCCAAAGAAAAAGGAGTTTTAAACGTATTAAAGAAAAAGGTTTCAGTAGAAAAAACTACGCCAGAAAATATAGTAGCCGAAAATGTTGAAGTAGATTCTACTAACCGTACTTCAAATGTAGAACCAGATCAAAAATATTCTGAAATTCTCGAAGTGCTTGAAAAAGCTGAACAACAAACACAACAACCAGATTTTGTAAAACATTTAACATTAGAACCAGAACGAAAAATTGTTACCATTGAACGAGAAATTACCATAGAAGTATTTGATTTGCCAAATAAACCAGTAATAGAACAACGTTCAATAGTGGATTCCAATGATTTTCTTAATAACGAAATAGAAAAATATCACGACGTACGACCGATTATTACCAAAAATGAAGTCGCACCGTCCGAAATTATAGAAACGTCTAAACCAGTTCTTGAAAAACCAAAATATCAAATAGACAAAGAAGAAAAAGCGATAAGTAAATCTAAAAAGAAAGAAACGGGTGGTATGTTTGGTATGTTTAAAAAGAAACCAAAAGAAATTGGAACACAACCAGTATCAGAAGAAATAATCGAACAGAGTCAGCAAGCGAGTACCGTCTTAGAAGAAGAAGTCAACAAACATCATGACGTTCGTCCTTTTGCTGAAGAAAAAATTGTTACAGCCAAACCCATTATAAAAGAATCTATTGTTGTCACTATGGAACCAAATTTAGGTACTTCCAGTGTCAGCACTAAAACTGAAACAACCAAGGAAAGATTTGTTGCTTCAGAAGACCATATTAAAGATATAAAAACAGAAACTAAAACGAAAACTACTAAGAGGACCATTACAACCGAAGCTACTTTCTCTCACTCTTCTAAAGTTGGTGATTTACATAAAGATATTACTACTGCTCATGGTGTAACAGAAACAACTTCTGCTGCAACACAATCAGATATAGCTTCTACAAAACCTGTGGTATTTGAAACAACATTACAAAATATTGACGACCCCAATGGATTCTTAAAGACGGAAGTTGAAAAATATCATGACGTAAGACCAATCATTAAGTCTTCTGATCAATTACAACAGGAGTTAGTTAAGGCTTCTGAACCAATACTCCAAGAAACTATTGATATCAAAATGGAATCAACTCCAAAAAAACAGAAAAAAGATAGTGGACTTCTGGGATTATTTAAAAAGAAATCTCATGATGATAAACCAAGCACAAGTCCTCCTCGCTTATCTGAAATTGTTGTTCAACAAATGAAAGACAGTGATAACTTTTTAAAAGACGAAATAGATCAATTCCATGATGTTCGTCCAATAGTTTCAGAAACTAATCTAGAAACTGCAGTAAACAAGGATATTCAATTAGTACAAAAAAAGAGTACAAAGACAGATAATGCTGACGCACAAAAAGGTGGTCTTTTTGGTTTATTTAAAAAGAGAGAAGGTTCTACTGAGAGAGATAGAGATATTAAAGTTAAATCGGGAGAATTTAATGAACCTACTATAGCTAAGAAGAAAACAGGATCCTTAGAAAGAGAACGCAAAGAAAAAATTAGTCCCATTTTTGGTATTAAACATCAAAAGCGTAATATTTCAGAAACTACCCTTAAAGATATGAATGAAAGTGACACATTCTTAAAAACAGAAGTTGATAAATATCATGACGTTAAACCAATTGTTGGACAAGATCTTGTTGTTAGTAAAACAATTGAATTAAAAACTCCCAAAACAGTTAAAGACGAAGAAACGCAAGACGAAAAAGGAGGATTATTAGGCATTTTTAAGAAAAAGACTTCTTCTCTGGAACCAGATGTAAAAAGTGTGCCGAAAGAAGTAACCGAACAAACAAAACGTGTAATTGGCAAAGATGAAACTGTTATACCCGAACATAAACATGACAAATCAATGAAAATTTTGACTGTCAAAACACCTAGTCTCTCTGACAATACCATTAAAGATATGTCTGATAGCACAAATTTCCTACAAACAGAAATACACTACTTTCATGATGTCCGACCAGTTGCGAATCAAATAACTGTTAAGATGCCCGTTGATCAGTTGGAAAAAAAATCTAGCAAAAAATCGAAAGGTACAGGTAGCTTGTTTGGTATGTTTAAGAAAAAGAGTGAATCGGTAGAAAAAGACCTAAAAGAACAAAGTAAGAAAGGAACTGAGAAAACCAAGGATATAAGTCAAGAACTGGAAACATCAACAATTGCTCACGAAGAGAAACCTAGTTTATCCCAAGCAACTATTACAGACTTAACTGATAGTACTAGGTTTTTGGAAAAAGAAGTTGAAAGATACCATGATGTACGTCCAATTGTCAAAACTTCTGAAATAGTAGAACATATGACCAAGCCTGTAACATTAACTTCAGTAACTTTACCAGACACATCATTTACTACAAAAGAAACAATAATACGCGAGGAAGGACATAAAACTAGTCAGTCCGCTACGATTAATGATGAAAAATTATTTGAAAACTTAAAAGACGAGAGTCCAAAGCGAACAATAACTACTACAGTTACAAAAAAAGAAATACCTCACGGCGAAAGAGTAAAAAAAGTACAAACAGAAGTTATAACAGGTACAGTTCAGTTAGATCCAGATATTCTAGCTGACGTAGACAAACTCGAAAAAGAAATAAATTCTGAACTTGAAAGACTAAGAAATCAAACCAGTGCTTCTCAGGATAGAAAAGATGAATTTACAAAAACAGTAGACGTTGTTGAAACATCTAAACCTACTCTAAAGCAAGAAGTTATCGCTTCAGAAAGTAAACCACAACTATTAGACACAGTTATTAGAGATATTAATGACACCAATGCGTTCTTAGAAACTGAAGTGGATAAATATCATGACGTACGACCTGTATTAAGTCAAAAAGAAGACGTTTCTGTTTATGTCAAACCAAAAGAACCTTCCCAGCTAGAAGAAAAAGCTAAAAAGAAAAGAGAGAAGGATAAAGAAAGCAAAGGTGGGTTATTTGGTATTTTTAGAAAAAAGGGAGATTCTTTAGAGAGAGGTTCCAATCTTGAAACTCTTGATAAAAATGATAGACCTATTTTATCGCCCATGGTTGTGAAAGATATGTCTGACAGCAATTCATTCTTAAAGGAAGAAGTAGAACAATATCATGATGTTAGACCAATAATAAAAACACCTATAAGCGAATCGGTTTTGGTTACCAAACCGGAACATACGGCAACATTAGAAAGTACACATTTAATCGACAAAAAACATGACAAGAAACCTACAGAAGAATCTAAAAAGCAAGACGACAAAAATGCAGATACCCCTAAAGGGAGTGTCTTTAGCATTTTTAAAAAGAAGACAAGTTCTTTAGAAAGAGGTATTAAAGGTTTACCAACGGAAAAGTCTGAAAAAGTTAGTCCTATATTTGGAATCAAAAAGGAAAAGCAGAGATTATCGGAAAAGACTATTGAAGATATGGCCAATAGTAATACCTTCTTACAAACAGAAATTAATAAATACCATGATGTAAGAATGGCGTCACAAAAAATTGAAGAAAAACCCCAACACAGTACACCAGAAGATAAAAAGATTGATATGAAAACTTCTTCAAAAGATCACGGAAAAAAAGGTGGCTTATTTGGTATATTTAAGACAAAGACTGGCTCTATTGATAGAGACGTTCCAGACATATCTAAAGAAATAAGAGCAGAAACTAAAAAAGAAATTACAGAAGCTTATTCAGGTTTAAATACCTTGGTACCACATGAAAGTCATACGTTCCTAACAACTGAAATTGAGAAATATCATGATGTTAAGCCCCTATTTCAAAAAGATTCAAAACCAGTAACAGCATCACCAGCAGCACAAACGCTCGAAATAAAAAAGGACCAAATGCAACCTATTAAAGAAAAAATTACGATCAAAACTAGTGACAAATTATTTGAGAGCCTTAAAGATGAAAGTCCCAAAAAAACAGTTACTACAACAATTAGTAAAGAAGAAATTCCCCATGGTGAACGAGTTACCAAAGTAAAAACAGAAATATTAACTGGTACAATACAGCTTCCTTCAGATGTTTTATCAGATGTGGAGAAATTAGAAAAAGAAATTAATGAAAAACTAAATGATTTAAGAAAAGAAAGTGATCCTTCAGAGGATATCAGCACCGAGATAATAAAGGAAACTCAAGAAGTATATCAGAAAGTAACAGAGGTGGATGTCCCTCCTGTAAAGATAGATATAGCTATTTCAAAAGAAGTCTACAAACTTTCTGAATCAGTCACAGAGAACATGGATAATAGCAGCAAATTTCTGGATACAGAAGTCGATAAATATCACGACGTTCGACCTGTTATAAAGACAGCCGAAACGCAAGTTGTTACAGTTACTACCAAGCCTGAAGAATCTGTAAAATCTGAAGATAAGTCGAAGAAAAAAGATAAAGATAAGGACGGAAAAGGTGGCTTGTTCGGTATATTTAAGAAAAAGGGTGGATCATTAGAAAGGGGCGCCAAATTAGAACCTGTTGGTAAAGATAGACCTGTTCTATCAGATACAGTTGTAAAAGATATGCTTCATAGCAATTCTTTCTTAAAAGATGAGATAGACCGATATCATGATGTTAGACCCATTGTTAGGCAACCAGTTGAAGAAGAGCATATTAAAGTAGATGTCAGAGCAACTCCTGAAGAACAAAAGCCGGAAAAAGTTCCAAGAAAATCAAAAGGAAAAGGAGACAAAGAAAGTGGTGGTATTTTTGGCATTTTTAAAAAGAAAACAGAATCTATTGAAAAAGACCTTAAAGATGAAACTAAATCAGTTAAACAAGATTTAAAAGAATCAGGTGAAATCGTTAAAACTAAAGTAACAACTATTACTAAAAAGATATCTCCCGAAGAAACTCAAAAAATGTCGGAAATAAGACTTAAAGATATAGATGATAGTAACAATTTCTTAAATTTGGAAATTGAAAAGTATCATGATGTTAGAGTAATTCCTCAAAGTGACTCATCGAAAACAATAAAAGTAATATCAGCACCTATACTAGAACAAAATCTAACAACAGAAAAAGTCCAACGTCAAACTATTAAAGAAAAATTATTTAAAGAAACTAGTGACAATTTACTTGACAGCCTAAAAGACGAAAGTCCCAAAAGATCAGTCACTACAACAATTACTAAAGAAGAAATCCCTCATGGTGAAAGAGTTACCACAGTAAAATCAGACATATTAACTGGTACAATACAACTTACTTCGGACAACTTAACGGATATAGAAAAATTAGAAACAGAAATTAATGAAAAGCTAAACGATTTAAAAAAAGAAACTGATACTTCAAAAGCTATCGGTACCGAGATGGTAAAGGAATCTCAAGAAGTATATCAGAAAGTAACCGAGGTGGATGTGCCCGCTGTAAAGATGGACATAGCTATTCCAAAAGAAGTCTCCAAACTTTCAGAATCAGTCACAGAGAACGTTGATAATAGCATCAAATTTCTGGATACAGAAGTCGATAAATATCACGACGTTCGACCTGTTATAACGACAGCCGAAACGCAAGTTGTTACAGTTACTACCAAGCCTGAAGAATCTGTAAAATCTGAAGATAAGTCGAAGAAAAAAGATAAAGATAAGGACGGAAAAGGTGGCTTGTTCGGTATATTTAAGAAAAAGGGTGGATCATTAGAAAGGGGCGCCAAATTAGAACCTGTTGGTAAAGATAGACCTGTTCTATCAGATACAGTTGTCAAAGATATGCTTGATAGCAATTCGTTCTTAAAAGATGAGATAGACCGATATCATGATGTTAGGCCCATTGTTAGGCAACCAGTGGAAGAGGAGCATATTAAAGTAGATGTCAGAGCAACTCCTGAAGAACAAAAGCCGGAAAAAGTTCCAAGAAAATCAAAAGGAAAAGGAGACAAAGAAAGTGGTGGTATTTTTGGCATTTTTAAAAAGAAAACAGAATCTATTGAAAAAGACCTTAAAGATGAAACTAAATCAGTAAAACAAGATTTAAAAGAATCAGGTGAAATCGTTAAAACTAAAGTAACAACTATTACTAAAAAGATATCTCCCGAAGAAACTCAAAAAATGTCGGAAATAAGACTTAAAGATATAGATGACAGTAACAATTTTTTAAATTTGGAAATTGAAAAGTATCACGATGTTAAACCGCTTTCTCAAAGAGACTCATTGAAAACAATAAAAGTAATATCAGCACCTATACTAGAACAAAATCTAACAACAGAAAAAGATCAAAGTCAAACTATTAAAGAAAAAATATCAACCGAAACTAGTGACAATTTACTTGAAAGCCTGAAAGACAAAAGTCCCAAAAGGTCAGTAACTACAACAATTACTAAAGAAGAAATACCTCATGGTGAAAGAGTTACCACAGTAACAACAGACATATTAACTGGTACAATACAACTTACTTCGGACAACTTAACGGATATAGAAAAATTAGAAACAGAAATTAATGAAAAGCTAAACGATTTAAAAAAAGAAACTGATCCTTCAAAAGCTATCGGTACCGAGATGGTAAAGGAATCTCAAGAAGTATATCAAAAGTAACCGAGGTGGATGTCCCTCCTGTAAAGATGGACATAGCTATTCCAAAAGAAGTCTCCAAACTTTCAGAATCAGTCACAGAGAACATTGATAATAGCATCAAATTTCTGAATACAGAAGTCGATAAATATCACGACGTTCGACCTGTTATAACGACAGCCGAAACGCAAGTTGTTACAGTTACTACCAAGCCTGAAGAATCTGTAAAATCTGAAGATAAGTCGAAGAAAAAAGATAAAGATAAGGACGGAAAAGGTGGCTTGTTCGGTATATTTAAGAAAAAGGGTGGATCATTAGAAAGGGGCGCCAAACTAGAACCTGTTGGTAAAGAAGATAGACCTGTTCTATCAGATACAGTTGTAAAAGATATGCTTGATAGCAATTCGTTCTTAAAAGATGAGATAGACCGATATCATGATGTTAGGCCCATTGTTAGGCAACCAGTGGAAGAGGAGCATATTAAAGTAGATGTCAGAGCAACTCCTGAAGAACAAAAGCCGGAAAAAGTTCCAAGAAAATCAAAAGGAAAAGGAGACAAAGAAAGTGGTGGTATTTTTGGCATTTTTAAAAAGAAAACAGAATCTATTGAAAAAGACCTTAAAGATGAAACTAAATCAGTAAAACAAGATTTAAAAGAATCAGGTGAAATCGTTAAAACTAAAGTAACAACTATTACTAAAAAGATATCTCCCGAAGAAACTCAAAAAATGTCGGAAATAAGACTTAAAGATATAGATGACAGTAACAATTTCTTAAATTTGGAAATTGAAAAGTATCATGATGTTAGAGTAATTCCTCAAAGTGACACATCGAAATCAATAAAAGTAATATCAGCACCTGTACTAGAACAAAATCTAACAACAGAAAAAGATCAACGTCAAACTATTAAAGAAAAAATATCAACCGAAACTAGTGACAATTTACTTGAAAGCCTGAAAGACGAAAGTCCCAAAAGGTCAGTAACTACAACAATTACTAAAGAAGAAATACCTCATGGTGAAAGAGTTACCACAGTAAAATCAGACATATTAACTGGTACAATACAACTTACTTCGGACAACTTAACGGATATAGAAAAATTAGAAACAGAAATTAATGAAAAGCTAAACGATTTAAAAAAAGAAACTGATCCTTCAAAAGCTATTGGTACCGAGATGGTAAAGGAATCTCAAGAAGTATATCAGAAAGTAACGAGGTGGATGTGCCTGCTGTAAAGATGGACATAGCTATTCCAAAAGAAGTCTCCAAACTTTCAGAATCAGTCACAGAGAACATTGATAATAGCATCAAATTTCTGAATACAGAAGTCGATAAATATCACGACGTTCGACCTGTTATAACGACAGCCGAAACGCAAGTTGTTACAGTTACTACCAAGCCTGAAGAATCTGTAAAATCTGAAGATAAGTCGAAGAAAAAAGATAAAGATAAGGACGGAAAAGGTGGCTTGTTCGGTATATTTAAGAAAAAGGGTGGATCGTTAGAAAGGGGCGCCAAACTAGAACCTGTTGGTAAAGAAGATAGACCTGTTCTATCAGATACAGTTGTAAAAGATATGCTTGATAGCAATTCGTTCTTAAAAGATGAGATAGACCGATATCATGATGTTAGGCCCATTGTTAAGCAACCAGTTGAAGAGGAGCATATTAAAGTAGATGTCAGAGCAACTCCTGAAGAACAAAAGCCGGAAAAAGTTCCAAGAAAATCAAAAGGAAAAGGAGACAAAGAAAGTGGTGGTATTTTTGGCATTTTTAAAAAGAAAACAGAATCTATTGAAAAAGACCTTAAAGATGAAACTAAATCAGTTAAACAAGATTTAAAAGAATCAGGTGAAATCGTTAAAACTAAAGTAACAACTATTACTAAAAAGATATCTCCCGAAGAAACTCAAAAAATGTCGGAAATAAGACTTAAAGATATAGATGACAGTAACAATTTCTTAAATTTGGAAATTGAAAAGTATCATGATGTTAGAGTAATTCCTCAAAGTGACACATCGAAAGTAATATCAGCACCTGTACCAGAACAAAATCTAACAACAGAAAAAGACCAACGTCAAACTATTAAAGAAAAATTATATAAAGAAACTAGTGACAATTTACTTGACAGCCTAAAAGACGAAAGTCCCAAAAGATCAGTCACTACAACAATTACTAAAGAAGAAATCCCTCATGGTGAAAGAGTTACCACAGTAAAATCAGACATATTAACTGGTACAATACAACTTACTTCGGACAACTTAACGGATATAGAAAAATTAGAAACAGAAATTAATGAAAAGCTAAACGATTTAAAAAAAGAAACTGATCCTTCAAAAGCTATCGGTACCGAGATGGTAAAGGAATCTCAAGAAGTATATCAAAAAGTAACCGAGGTGGATGTCCCTCCTGTAAAGATGGACATAGCTATTCCAAAAGAAGTCTCCAAACTTTCAGAATCAGTCACAGAGAACATTGATAATAGCATCAAATTTCTGGATACAGAAGTCGATAAATATCACGACATTCGACCTGTTATAACGACAGCCGAAACGCAAGTTGTTACAGTTACTACCAAGCCCGAAAAATCTGAAGATAAGTCTAAGAAAAAAGATAAAGATAAGGACGGAAAGGGTGGCTTGTTCGGTATATTTAAGAAAAAGGGAGGATCATTAGAAAGAGGTGCCAAACTAGAACCTGCTGGTAAAGAAGATAGACCTGTTCTATCAGATACAGTTGTGAAAAATATGCTCGATAGTAATTCGTTCTTAAAAGATGAAATAGATCGATATCATGATGTTAGGCCTATTGTTAAACAACCAGTTGAAGAGGAGCATATTAAGGTTGATGTCAGAGCAACTCCTGAAGAACAAAAGCCTGAAAAAGTGCCTAGAAAATCCAAAACAAAAGGAGAAAAAGAAAGTGGAAGCATTTTTGGAATGTTTAAAAAGAAAGCAGGATCTGTTGACAGAGATATTAAAGAAGAAGTAAAAGAAGTGAAAAAAGATGCAAAAGAAATAATTCAAACAGTTCCTTTTTCTATTCAAACTAAATCTGGACTGTCAGATACAGTTGTTAAAAACATGGATGACAGTAATAACTTCTTATACACAGAAATTGAAAAATATCATGATGCACGCCCAATTATTAAAAAAATCGATAAAGTGGAACTAGTTACAACAAGTAGAATAGGCACAACACTATCAGAACCAATGAAAACGAAGATACAAGATAAAAAAGTCAGCCATACGGAATCTCCAGAAAAAGATTTAAAGAATGTATGTGCTGAAACTATTAAAGAGCCAATTGAATCCATTAAAAAAACTAAGACAGAAGTATCTACGTTAAAATCAAGTGTACTTACAGACATTGGCCAACCCGATCTGACTGGATTGACTGATAGCAGTAGTTTCTTGGAAACTGAGGTAGATAAGTACCATGATGTACGGCCTCAATCAAAATCAAAAGATGAAGCAGAAATTGTAACAAAAACTAATGTGAAGCAAACGGAGAAACCTAAAAAACCGAGAGAAGTAGATGATGCCAAAGGAGGAGTATTTGGTATTTTTAAGAAAAAGACAGGTTCTTTAGAAAGGGAAGTGAAAGTTTTACCAAAAGAAAAGCCTGAGAAAGTAAGTCCAATATTTGGTATTAAAAAGAAAAAACCAAAGTTATCGGAAGAAACACTTCAGAACATAACGCACAGTAATAGTTTCTTACAAACTGAAATAGATAAATATCACGACGTAAGACCAATGGGAGATAACGACATAAAAGTTACCAAGGAGATTATTTATCATGACGTAAGACCAATTGTTGATAATGTAGAAGAGACCAAAGTTAAATTCAAAGAACCTATCTCTATAGATATTCCTCCTTCTAAAACAGAAATTTCCAATACTGAACGGGCTCCTGAAGCTAAATTGATTACAACAACTCACGTTACACACGAAATTTATACGACTGAATTACCTTCGAAAGAACAATTCGACGAAATAACACAAAAAAGTAAGGAAGACAATAAAATGTTTCTCAAAGACGAAGTAGAACAATTTCACGATGTAAGACCAATAATCAAATCCCTAGAACCTGTCGAAGACACACAGCTTACCAAAAAAGCAAAACATACAGAAACTGTTGTTGTCGGGCCAATGCCTTCAACAACGACTGACGAGAAATATGTAAAAGAAACCAAAACTAAAGAAGGCAAAGGTCTGTTCGGAATGTTTAAGAAAAAGGATTCTGAAGAAAAGGAGATTAAACAAAAAACAGATACCATAGAAAAATCACCTAAAAAGGAGGAAAAATCTAACAAGAAAGATCATGAACTTGCGCAAGAAGTTCAAAAACCAATATTTGTAGACGTTACTAAGTCTATGAATGATTCAGATAATTTCCTCAGAAGTGAAATTGAAAAATATCATGATGTTCGACCATTGGAACGAGTACCGAGTGCACCGGCGGCCACAGAAATCGAGGTAGTTACCAAAACAACCTCAGATCAAGAAGTTAAAGCAAGTCCTTCAAAAATTAGCAAACCAGAGTCTGAAGGCAATAAACAAATTATTATTACAGAAAAACATTTTATTAAAGAAGGTGGTTATTTAAACGAAGTGTTCGTGAAAGAAACAACCGAAAAGAGAGTCTATACAACTGACATGAGAACGGCAGAAGCTGAAGAACTAAAAAGACTTCACGAGACGTCTAACTTTTTGAATACTGAACTGGATAAATACGAAGACAGTAAACCAGAAAAATCTGACACTGCACAACCAGAAAAGTCCACTCAGGAATTACAAAATTTGGTTTCTTCTGGTGACTTTTTAAGGGATGAAATAAACAATTATCACGACGTAAAGCTCACTGCAAAACAAGACGAGCCTTTAATAAAAGAAAAGGAAAAGAGTAAACGGTTTGGAGGACTATTTTCCAAAAAGAAATCTTCTGACAAAGAACAGGACGGTAAACCTAGTAAGGAAGAAACCAGCAAATCCAAAGATAAAAAGAAATCAAAAAAAGAAAAGGACGGTGCAGCTAAACCTGAAAGCCAAGATTTCTCTAAGATAGAAACCGACCGCTATCAGGAAGGTAAAAAATCAAAAGAAGAGAGTGGTAGTTTCTTTGGTCTGTTTTCAAAGAAAACCAAACCTCAAGAAAAAGACAAAAGCATTGAACAAGAAAGAGCGCATAAGCTGTCTACCGAAGTCCTTCAAAACATGAAACAAAGCTCGGACTTCCTAGATACAGAAGTAAAGGTTTATCATGACGTACGTCCAGAACTGGACAAAAGTTTTACAGATGATAATTTCCAACCAGTCACACTGTCACCTATCGACACATCGTTTACATTAACTACAGAAACTACTAAACACGAAGATCACATTAAACATGAAAGACACATCCAAACAGAAGAGACCCAAAAATCAAGTCAATCATACACTACAGATGAAGCATTTGCGGAAACTGTATCAGAGGAAGGTCCAAAAAGAACGATTACTACTACCGTTACTAGGCAAGAAATACCCCATGGAGAAAGAACAACTAAAGTAAAGACAGAAGTTATAACAAGCACAATTCAGTTAACACCCGATGTATTGAATGATATAGAAAAATTAGAGAAAGAAATAAACATGAAGTTGGAAGAACTAAGAAAACAAACCGATTCTACCGAAGATCTCAGCAAGCAAACTTCTTATAGTATTGCATCCGATGATCAGTTTCCTCGTGATGTGATAATCCCAGAAGTTTCAAATGAAGTTACATCTTACACACTTGAAAAACCAATTGTCAAAACAGAAGTTACAGGTAGTCAAGAATTGTTTGGCAAAAGGCTTCCTTCTGAAATTCCTGGCACTCCTCTTCCGGGTAAAATTTCTGAGTTATCTTTTGATCAACCGCCTCCGAGAGACGGAAAACTATCTAGTGAAACACTAAAACATATGCAAGATAGCCACAGCTTTCTAGTGACTGAACTAGAAAACTATGACGATGGGAAATTAGAAATTGTTACTGATCTTGACGAAGACCCTAAGGTCAAATCCTCAGGATTATTCGGAATATTTAGTAAAAAAGACAAATCCGAAAGCCCTAAAATCGCAAAAAGAAAATTGAAGAAGCCAAAAGAGAAGTCTGTAGAAGAAGTTGAAAAAGTTGGATTTTTAGACAAATTAGGTCGAAAACTAACAGGTGCGAAATACGATGTGGAAGAAGCTTCCAAGAGTATGAATGAATCAGGTACTGAAATTTTAAGAAAAACAGATGATACTTTAGATACAACAGCTGCTGCAGTTTCTACTGCAATCGATACTGTAGAAACCAAAATAGAAAAAGAATATCAAAAAGACAAAGAATTGGTACACCAAAAGCATGAAGCTTTATCTAAACAAGTAAGAGATACAGCTGACAGTTTATCAAAAGAAAGTGATAAAATACAACAAACTGTTACAACTAAAATTAAAGAAACGGATCAGAAATTAGCAGACACTAAACAGCACACCACAGAAGTCGTTGGTGAACTAGAAAGAAAGCTTAAGGAAGAAGACAAAGCAACTAAGCAAGAAATTTCAACAGCGGTAAAACAAGTAGAAAATAAAAGTGGTGAAGTGATTCAAGAAGGAAAAGATTCAGCAGAAAAAGTAAGCAAAAAGACAACAGGTTTTTTTAGTAAAATAACCGGAAAAAGTGAAGAAGATAAAAAAGTAGAAAAGGAGAAAAAAGACAAAAAGGGTAAAAGATCTCCAGGTTTCTTATCTAAATTAGGCGGTAAAAGCAAAGAAGTATCATTCGAACAGCCAGAAGCAACAATAATAACTGAAAAACATGTTACAACTCAACCAGAAATAACGATAAGAGTTGATGACGTCTTACAAACAGAAAATCTAATTAAATCAGAATCGGAAACATTTTCTCATGATTTACTGAAAAGCTTCGATGAAAAATTAGAGCATGTCAAAGAGGAACGTGATGATATTAAAAAGAAGGCCAAAGATGAAATGAAAGAATTTGAAATGAGAACTGAAAATATTAAACGAGGCGTGTCAGATATTGCACAAAAACAAACTGTGACAATAACTAGTACAGAAAAGCAGTTAAGAGAAAAATCTGATACTTTTGAAAAGAAAATCGACGAAAAGTTCAGCGAAACCATGAAACTGTCTGAAGAACTATCGAAAAAACCTAAAGAAATAAGTAAAAAAATAACAACAGTTTCCGAAAATATACTTGAAACTCAGCGAAAGCAAATACAAGCTGATGTGAGTCTTCTTGAGGACGATATAGACAAACAAAGTAAAGAAGCTAAGGAAAAACTTAGCGATGATATAATCTACGTCCAAAAGGCAATCAAAATAGAAAAGAGCAAACTGGGCGACATGCCAAAAGATTTTGGCAAAAAAGTTGAAAAGAAAGTTGAAGGTATTGAAATAGGGATAGCTTCAACTGTTCAAAATGTAGAAGATGCTGCAAAAACTTCCAAACCTGTACAAGATTCTCCAAAAAAAATTATAAAACAAATTGATGACTCAGTTGCTTTTATTAACAAAGGTTTAGATCAGTTAGAAAAAACAGAGACTGGCATTAGACAAGAAGCCACTAAGATAAGAGAGGGAACAATATCAGTTGTTTCTAGTAAAGAAGCTGTTACAGATCAAACAAAAAACACCATAAAATCAACTAAAGATTTTTTTGACAATGTAGAAAATAAATTAATAGGTGCAAAAGAAGAAGCTGAAAAAGTTATAACTGAAGAATCTTACACAGAAAGTAAAGTTAAAATTCCCGTATATGCTCCTAAATATGACATAGGATCATTCCATCAAATATCTGATATTCAACAAAAAACTCTGGACTTTTTGGAATCTGAAAGTCAAAGAACAGATGATTCTAGAATGAGTCGAGCGGTTTCTGATTATGGTACAACGTTAAAAGCAGGTGCGGAGGAAGGCGCTAGAAAAATTTCTGAAGCCAACATCGATCTTTCAAATTTTTCCACCGAAGATGACGAACTAATAAAAAAAGAAAAAACGACGTCATATGTTACATCACCAACTTTCACTAGAAGAACGCTATCGGCAAAAATAACTAAAGGCGGGAGACCCCAAGTAGTAGAAATCACTTACGACTCTTCTTTAGACAGCAGTTCTAGTAGTAGTTCTTATATAGTGACTGAGCCAGATGACGCAGATTCTAGAAGACAAAAGAAAACAATTTTTCACATAGAATCTGAAGAGGGTGATTTAAGTTCAAAATCAGATAGAGAAAGAAGAGATAGTAGTAGTTCTAACGTATTAGAGACTTTAACAGAAAGTAGAATAGAAAGCTTACTGAGCGATTTAACTAAAGACTTAGATGATTCGACAAAACCCATACAGATCGTATTAAAAAAAGAAGAACAACGACTCAAAGAGCACAAAAAGGAATCCCAAGCCGAGGTAGATATAATAGAAAAGAAATTGCGTGACTTAGACAGAGCTTTAGATTCATTAGAACAAGTAGAAATAGTAGAACAAATAGAGGACAAAGGGGATGCGCGTACAGAGAAAAAACTCCGGCGGGTAGAACGCAAGTTCGAAAGAATGGCATCAGAAGTCCTTGAAAAAGAATCGAAAGAAGGCAAAAAAGTACAATTGACCAGCCCGGAGATCGAAGGTAAACGCGAGAGTGACTACCAAACCGTGGTATCGCAGCTTAGCACAGAAGAGATCAGTGACTTCCAAAAAGAATACAGCCACTTGTGGGACGAACAAACATTCTCAAAGAGCAGTGATCGAGAATCAAAAACTCCTGACAGCCAAGCAGATGCGCAAGAACTTCCACAAGGTAGATGTTAGATGTTGCTTTAACGAATCTTTTCTTCTCACATAACCATTTTTCACGCCTAAGTAGATGTTTATTAACACTAAGTTTAAGACCTTTCTCCAAAGTTTAAGGATCAAAGCATGCTGTCTAATCAGTTGTACTGCCCTCCCCACCAAATAGAGCTGCAAACATATCGGGACGCACCCTTATTTTAGGATTACGTCAAATATTATTTATCACTAAAAATTTCTCCCTTTAAATTACTAACAAATGCATTGGCTTAACAGTATTTAGTCACTGGATAAACTTTACTAGCTTTAGATCGTTAGAAAATAACAAAATAAACTATAACGTTATTCTTTAATAGCTATGCGGTGGATTATTGACTACGAATATGTGGTCTATTTAATACAATATATTAGGAAATAATTTGATAATAACGTTTCATTGAGGTGACATTTAGCATGTGACGTTTGACAGATAGCGTAGTTTCTGTCGATGGCGTACAGAAATTATGACGTCACAGAATATGAATGTAGAACTTTAGATGTTCTAATAGTTTATTATACCTGTTTTAAAAAGTTACAATTCTTACTTTTGTATATCATTTAAACATCAACCATTAACGTTAAACTTGGTCTGTTTATTAAGTTCATATATTTGGTCAATTCATTATAAACGAACTTTTAACAGATTCAACTTCTAGTGAATGCAAAATTTTGTATTTCTTAATGCTCCAGTAGGATTCTTTAGCAAATCGTGTCTTTAAATTCATCCAGAACAACAATCTTTTGTTTTTCTTTGCATCAGTATTAATTTTTATCGTTGTCTTTTAATGTATGACTGACTTATGATAATTAAATTTTAAATTCCTCAGATCATTTTAGATATGTTTTGAATACCTATCTTTGACTGTTTCGGAAATATTAAGTAAAATGCAAAAATTCACATTTAGAAAAGAAAATTATCTATTTGCCGAAATTCACTACAACATATTCAAAAACTTCTAAACAATACAAATCTAAACAATAATGTCAATGTAGGAAATCTTCAACATGTTCCCCACAAATGTCTTGGCAACACCCTAACCGTGAATACAAATTTCTTTTAACGTATTTCCTAAATTTCTAAATTTCTTCTTCGTAAGTCAGCTAAGTCAGTGGGATTAGTTTTGTATACAATACTTTTTACATATCCCCATAAGAAAAGTCTAATGGCGTCAAATCGGAGGATCGTGGTGGCCATTCCATCATCGAGGGGGATCCTCGCCTCCCTATCCACCGATTTGGAAATATTTGGTTAAGGTACTGCCGGACATGAGTTTGCTAGTGGGATGGTGCTCCATCTTGTTGAAACTATATCATATTCTCTGGAACTTGTGAGTTTCCTGTTGGTCAACGTTGGCACTGCATTATTTTGGACCAATAAATAATTGTAGTCACTCAAATTGCCATCTATGAAAAAGGGACCTATGATCTGATCTTTAATAATTCCTGCCCACACGTTAATCTTTTCCGGGTATTGAGTATTACCTTCTTCTAATTGGATCACATTGCTGTCTAACATTGCCATCATGTGTTCACAAAAATACGTTCTTTTGTCAAAATCATCTGCCATGAGCTCCTGAGTGTGTATAATTTTATAGGGATGCATTTGGTTTTCTGTAATATTCGAATAACCGATGAATAGCTAATATCGAGTACTGGGGCTGCGTTTCGTACAGAGTTATGTGGGTGTTCCTCAAACTCAAACATAACAGCCAACTTAGCATCCTTACTTATTGTATTGGCAGCTTCTTTTCTTCATTCCTAACATGGAACAGCACGTGGAATTGCTTCTCTATTTTACTAATTGCCTCTTGAGATATGTGCGGCAAATCAGGAAATGCTTCGCGAAATAAACGAGCTGCTTCAATTTGCGCCCGTGTCTTATCTCCATCGCCAATCATCTATATAATTGTAATTTTGTGCATTTCTGTTAAATGAACCATTTTTCTGGCTTGCGGTTAATGAAATTCAAAAGACTATAGCACTGACAACTACTTCTGTCATGGAACAATAAAAAATTGGTGTTTTAAACCAAAGTAAACAATTTTTTTGTTTTTTTTAACATATCAATAAAAAGGAATGCTTAAATAGTTTTTGCTTACTGTACCATTACTAAGACCTAAATGGGCAAGAAGTATTAAGACAATGGTAGCGACTTTTGACAAATAAATATTTTTTTTTTCTAAACGTGAATTTTTGTATTTTACTTAATATTTCCGAAACAGTCAAAGACAGGTATAGGACATTATATTCAAGAAATGTCTAAAATGATCTGAGGAATCAAAAAATTCATTAATATACAAGGTGTTCTATTTAAAATAAGCAAGTTGGTATTGATTCTTTGTGACATAGGTTTTTTATCGAAGTCCAGCATCCACTGTAATACCCAAATACTTGCAGTGTTAGCAAACGGGATAAGGTCATTATTGTTTCTTATTGCTATATATTGCTGTTTTTTGTTTGTGAAATTTATGTCTACAGATTTTGTTTCATGTAATTTAATTCTCCCTATCTTTGTCTAACTAGTTATTTGGTCCATTGATGCTCGTATTTTCTTGCTGCATCTTTGTAATCTTCTACGGCTGAGATGGCAGTACATCAGAAAAGGTAGCTCTTGCGTTGTTTTCTGAAACAGGAATGTCGCTGGTGTATATAAGGTACAGTACCGGGCCGAGTACACTTCCTTGTGGCACTCCTGCCTTTATTTCTTTGAGGTTTAGATGTGTTGATGTGTTGATGTGATCTTGTTTTATTCTATACACTCTCTCTGTAATATATGATTCTAATAACAGTGATAACTGTTTTAGTAGTGTTAATTTAAAATTGTGCACAATTCCCTTCATGTCATGCCCTCTCAAACACTTATACTACATCCAGAAAGATAGTAGAGCATAACTTTTTCTCTTCTATTGTTTTTCTATTAGATTAGTTATTCCATGCACCTGGTCGATAGTTAAGTATATATATCCGGTTTTTTAGGCGTTACGCCCGTCCGGTAGGGATCTATGGAGGAGTATCACCGAGCCACAAGCCCTTATCTCTTGCCGTACTGCTCCACCATAGGCCGATCAGATCCCAGCATATTCTAGTCTAAGCCGCAGATTCATCTAGAATTTTAAACTGCTGCGTTAGACTTTTTGTTTTCTGTACACCGAGCAGGGGCTCGATCCCACATCCACTGAACCATTCGACAGTGAAGCGAATGAGAGGCAGCCGCACAGCCCGCTGAGCTATCTGACCGACCGATAGTTAAGTTCTTTTCTATAATTTCTATAATTTCAAATTGCTGAGTTGGTATTAATTTCCTTTCCTCTATGATAGGTTTTATTCTTTTAAGTAGCATTTTTTGATATAATTTTGAAATAATTGGATAAGGGGATCTATAAGATCTGACTTCATGTGGCGGTTTGCCTGGGTTTAGAACCATATTCATTTTAGCTGCTTTCTACATCTTAGGTGTATATTTTAATCTAAATGTAGCATTAAACAGGTGTGTAAGTTTGATTATGGCCTTGTTTGGTAATTGCTTTCGTTATCAGGTAAAACCAGGGGGCTTTCTTAAGATTTAAATGTTCTCGTATTTCTGTTGCAATCTCATTTGGATTACTAATTTTAATTTCAATGTTTTCGTTATTATATTCTGTTCTATCAGATAAAGACTCACCTTTATTTGGTTAATACTTTCTAGATGCTCAGCAAATATGTCAGCTTTCTGCTTAGGTCATGTCTCCACTAACTGGCATGCGAGACTATGTATTCAGATATCCTATTATTTGTGATTATAAATTCATTGCATTTTCTTTTTTCTAATACTTGATACTAGAATATTTAACGGATAGTATCTTAATTATTATAGTTTGTCAATCCAATGCAAGTAAATTTTTGACATAATCCTGAAATCTTCGCCATTAGTGGAATATCGTTCATCGCCAAGTCGAAATTTCATCAAAACTTTTACCGATAATAATATTCCCGTAGGTGAAATAGTTTATATGGGCCCTGTCAATTTAAATAAAGATCATTCGATAAACAAAGCCGGTATAGAAGTAGACGTGATTCCTATTATGCGCAGTCCCTGTCCATCTCCGAAACCCAGAAGGAAAAAAACGACTAGAAGATCTAAATCCGCCATGGGATATTATAGAAGCGATAAAGTACGAGACGACGAAAGAGGTAGCTTGCCCAATCTAAAATGTTCATCAGTTAAGGGTTCCCTTCTCGATATCGTGATGGAAATGGATCCTAAATCGTTCTTAAGTACTCAGTCATTAATAAGTGGTGAAGCTAGAATCAGGTCTTTAGGTAGTACAGATTCTATTCCTAAAGGAACTATAATGAAAGCAGTAGTAAACTGGTTAGAAAAATCGAGTCCGTTTAGCTCCATAGATAATATTGATAAAAGAAGCATGGCAAGTATTACTGATATGATGGACACTAGCGTTTCGTTATTTGAAGATGACTTAGAATCTACCGATGAAAGATCTGCATCTAGATCCGAATGTGTACTGCCAGATATTAACATTCAGTTTGAAAATGAAGAACAAGGTAATTAGTGAGAGAGCGTGTGACACTTAGACGAGCCTTTTCTAGGTAAAGCCTTTATTACGTAATTAGATCTTAGAACCGATAGATGACCGGGCCCGATATGTTTGAATTTGTTTTATTTTTTTTAAGTTAGTCTAATGGCGATTAAAAAATTGAAAAGAAAAACAAAATAGTTGTGAATGCAGTTGATTACTCGAGAACATCAAAATATTTTTTTATAGACATTTTGGTTCCATCGCTTTGTTTTTTGTTTTTGTTACAGATTTTTTTATCTCAAGCACGCAATGATTTAGCTTTTCTTTGATAATAAATTATAAAAAAAAGGGTATTTAATACACGCACTAAAGAGGTTATCCAAGAGTTGTTAAATACAAACAAATTTCTTAAATACATACATATAGGAATGAAACGACGTACTGCCGCCATTTT